TGTTTTGTGTAGTTGTTACAATGCGGTCTCCTGTGTAAAAAAGCATTTTTTTTGTCTTCTGTAGTTGACCACACTAAGAGGTGGTGTAAACACAGGAAACGCCTCTCTGTTTGATCCTCTTTTACTAGACTTTGTAGAGCAGGACTTACGGTAAACGCACACATGAAACAGATGCTTTGTTCCGAGCTGAGGGTGTAGAAGAAAGCACCAGAACTTTATGGACATTAATACCAGTTTCCTTTAGCATATTCATTACTTTTTATCTGCGTTTTCCCACGTTTTGTAATCTATAATGATGTGTACAAGCAGGTTTTTAACACCCAATAAACTACAGTTTTACATTTTGAATAGTCGAATGAAAGCACACTTAATAATAATAGAATTTAATCTTCAATGTGCCGTTTGAGTTCAAACCATTGGTCAAGCAAACGAAGTGAACTCAGGATGATAAAGTCCTTTTGAAATGAAGGAAGGCAGAGCATCGAAAACAAACCCCGAGCGCCTGAAACCTCACATCTCTGATAAATGATGATACAAGTCCAGCATCATCAATCTCTGCTCTGCCCAGTTTGGCTCTCCGGTCACAGCTGTTGGTGCGAGGCGGCCTCTCCTACACACACACTCGTACACGCTCGCACACCCTTACACACATGGCTGACTAATGACAGATTAAGTAATCAACACTCACAGCTGATTCATTATATTATAACGCATGCACAGACAGACACTTGGAGTTTTTGCCTTACAATCACAGATGCAGATGTGAGCAGCCCGTACAGTCGCCAGTGCAGTGGAGATTTGTGTGTTAGGGAAGCAAGAGAGTGGAAGAAATACTGTCAGGTCTTGGAAAAAACAATTATTTTAGGGTTAGCATGAGGGTTAGTTGAAGCAGGAATGGTAATGGTTGAGGTCAGACCTGTGGCATAAAGGTTGTGGTTTGTGTTTGGGAACTTCAAGTCATGTCTGCTTTTGCTATTATAGATTCAAAACAATTTTCTCCTTTAATTTTTAATTTTTTAATTTATAAACGCTACCAGGCGTTTAGCTTGAAGGGCATCAGGGTGTTTTTACGATGCCCTCTTTCAGCTGGTGACGCCCTCAGGGCATCTTGATGATTTTCAGGTTTGCAGGGAGTTTTTTTTTTGACGATGCGTAGATTTCGTAACTTTCCGTAAACTTTGTAAGCAGCTTGTGAGCGACCGCAGTTATTTTATGAATCCAGAGGAAGACGTAAAGAATAAGTTGTGCTTTCTTGGATAGAGGAGATGTTCCAGATTTAGTAGCTGCTGTTATGTGTCGTACACAGTAAAAAACGAAGTGTCATTTTAACACCTATAGAGTAGAATTTAACTCTATTTCATATAATATTTGGTAGGGGTGTAAGAAAATATCGATACACTGAAATATCGCGATATTTCATTTCCCGATACTGTATTGATATTCTAAAGCCCTGTATCGATTTTTAAT